TTATTTCTTATAATAATAATTTCCCCTTACATCCATTCATTATTAAAATAACAAAAATCAATTATATTAAAATATTTGTACGATACATCATTATCTACAATAATTAAGGAAAATAAACCGAAACACATACATAGTGCAGCCTGCATCAAGATTTGTGCAGAGAGTGAGTGAGGTCGTCATTAGGTAGAGGTTGGGATCGGACCAGACTCGAGCGGCGAACGAGTGCATTACAGGTGTCGATTGCCAGGCCCATCCCTTGACCAGATCCAGACGGTCCACCAGAAAGCGAGGGCATTGAGAGGCTCAACAGTTATGACTGCGTCTGCGGTTGAACCCGTCCTTGCAAGCACTCCGCATCACCCATTTCAAAATCACCAAAGTCTGCCATCTCCACTTCGCGCACGCTACTGCACCTCGTGTGCGGATATCCGAACGGGCAGCCATACAGTGAACTATCGGCAGAGAGCCAGTCGAATTCGCTGTAGTCATCAGAATCGGCAGTAGATGCTGATGAAGAGACACTCACAGTACTTGTAGTGTATGATGAGCTGCCTCCGCCTCGTTCTTTTCCCAACAGCATCCGCAACGGAAGAGGAAGAATGTGTTCTCGGGCCGTTTGATGTAGTCTTCAACACCACACTTCGGTCGTTGCTCGGTCCCTGCAAGTTGAATAGCGTGCGTGTGTGAATTGAGGTCGAGCAGGTTGTGGAGGCTGAGGCTGTGCCTGTGAGACGAGTTTAGAGTGATTAGCGAGTGATAATAAGAGAGAAAAGGTGGACGCACCGCGACGGCGTGCAACGAGTGTGAGTGGTGCACCGAGGTTGGGATCCAGAGCGTTGAACAAGCTGATTTGAGCAGCAAGCAAAGCTGTGCCCGTACGTGCACATCACATGCACCTTCAATTGCGAGACGTAGTCAGAGCAGAGAACTTAGTCGTCGTGTGTGGTTGCAAAGGTGTATCTCTGGGACGTTCTGGCTCGAAGGGAGAGGGTGAAGTGGGTGATGTGAATGGACTCGGCTCGGGAGGGGTAAGCGATAGCTACTGCTTACCTTATTCGAAATGGTGTCATGGACGGCACTGAGGAATGTAAATGTGCGTGGGGCAAACCTGTCAAGAGTGATGTCAAACATGGAATGTACGAAGGAGTAGAACACGTACAGCGTCAGGGAGAGGGTGGTACAATAGGAGTGGTCGTACATGAACATTGTTGCGAGTATGCTCGCGTGTGCTCGTCAATTCTTACTTGCACTGCAGAGTGGGAAGAAGTACACGAATGCATGGAGTTATTGGAGAAGTTGTTCAGCATTGATCAACAATACGGATGCGCGAATGTGAATTCAAAAAGGGAGACGAACGTAAAAAAAGGAGGACAGCGAAGGGGAGGCAACGCAAGCGGTGGGACGAGGAGTAGAAGGGATGGAAGGGAGACAAAAAGTTGGGAGAGAAGGGATGAGCAACTATTGTACAGTCTTTTATGAAGTGGACTGGATGCTTACCGCTTTACATTGAAGGACGGTGTAGTCAGCTCAGTGGCACAACATACAATCTGAGGCTCTGTACAGGCACTGCAACAGTAGATTGGAGAGACGAGTTGCAGCAATGTTTATTGTCTGTGTTGTTGCACTCGGAGTACCCGCTGGAGGACGCTTGCAAGCAGAGGACTGGGCTGGAGAGAACAAAAGCGACAACATAGTGTTAGGGCAGAGGGTTAGACTTAGAGAGATGGTGGAGGTCGGAGAGAAAGAGTGACAGCTGTAAGAGCGTCATTATATGCTCTCGATCTTCAGCGTTGATTATGTAATCAATGTTCGTGATAGTAGCAAAGCTGTAAAACAAAACCAATATTATATTTAGATGCAAAAGGAAAGCACTATTTTACTTTATGATACAGTTGATAGTAATCTGACATGTCTATATTGCTTTTAACACATTGATATAGTTTTTACAAGTATCTGAATGCCTTATACAAACAATATAAAATCTTTTACAAGGTGAATTTTAGTCTGTCTTCAAAGTTATAATCTAAGTATAATACTTTAGCTTATAATGTAAGGTTATCATAATGTATTCAATGAATTGTAATGATTTATAACACTCTTAGAGCCTTT